ATGTTTAATTACCAACTACTTCTTCTCATTTTAATGACAATTAAAGTGAAAACAATGACTTTTTATTATTAATTTTTTCGATCTTATCCTTCTAATAATTTCATTACAACTGAACAGCTACAGAAAATTTATCTTAACCTGAAAGTAATTGCCAACATAATTGGTTTATTAACAAATGATTACTCAAAGAAAAATGAACTTTACTAAGCCTTGTTATTTCACTTCGCCAGTTTCCCTTGGATTTGCTATCTGAATATATTATGAATGATAAATGATGAGCATAATTAAAAATATTTTCATGAAATAATGCTTAATGTTGGATCGAAATGTTGCCTTGAATCTTGGTCTTAATTTCATTCCCTGTTTGGATTGGTAAAGTTGAACCGAAAATCGAGATAAAAGTTTAGTTTTTGTTGGTTAAACAATATTTTCATCAACCTGATTCCATCTCATGTCAACTTCAATTCTTGCCCGAGCAAAGTATCACATTATCAATCATGTTTATGATCATTTTGTAACTTTTGATTGATCATTTGATTGGTGAATAAAAAAGACTCCAGTAAAAAGAGACAAAAACCAGAAAAGAATGGAAAACGAGTGGAAAAGTGTATAAAATAGTTTCATCTCTTGCAATTGAACTTATTCAACTTCACCATCTGTATAACTTATAACTCGATCATGTTCATCTTGGAAAAAATCGAAATATGATATTCCAACTTTACCTTTAGTTATCTTGTGACTCGATTCATTTTCAGCATCATTTTATCCTTGCAATTGATAATTCAAGCTGAACCCAAAAAAATGTTCACTTGCATTGTGATGATAAGATGAAGAGCTAGAAAAATGTTACTTTGACTAACTGTCACACTTGAGATGATTGATCTTCTCTCTTGTCTCATCTTCTTTAATCACCTTTAGACCAACTTATATCAGCAATTCTCATCATTCCATTGAGCTTGGAATATAAGATGAGATTAGAAGATGAAAAAAATAGAGAAAAGAAGAAAAAACATATTTTCTCTCATCCATTTTAAACCCTTTCTTTTCCAACCCAAATTGCAATGTGACTTGTTAATCCATTGCGCTTTCCAATATCGTGAAACAATTAACACTAAACTTGAACAATGTTAAATAACTTTTCACAAGCCAAAGCAAACACACACAATAATCCGAAGCAAGAAAAAAAAGTTTAATTCCTTTTCTGATAAAAATAAATCTCAGCCAGTTGATAATCTAAATTCACAAATCAACTGAAAATGAACAACATGGAAAGATATAATGACAAGTTAATCTGATTGAAGGCAACAACCAAATCCTGAGCAACTGAGGTTTTCCAAGATGAATTTGATGAGAAGAAACAATTTGTAAAGATAAACCTTGGATTGAATCCAGCAAAAGATGATCAAATGAAGAGCAAGAAAAGGAGAAAAAAAGCAAAATTTAGTTTCATGGTGAAAAAAAGAAAGGAGTGCGACATGAAGAAGAAAAGATTTGCCTGGCAAGATTTGGATATGATCACCATCAATATAATCGTTTATCCTTCGATTCCATCATTTCTCATTTTTATTCCAACTCAAACTTTTCATCATCTTTACCAATCACAATCAATATCGCCTTCACCCAGAAGAAAAATGAGAGACGAAACAAACAACAATAGAAACTGATGTTTGTGGGTTTTTTCATGGGTCTCAATGTGTCATAATACCAACCAAATTTTTCTCATCCTTTTCTTTTCCCTCTTCATCTTCAGTTTTTGCAACTTCTTCTTCATCTCGATCTTCTCGTCAACTGAAATGAAAACTTTTACTCTCGAGTTTTACCCTTTCTTTTGCCTTTTCAGTTCTTAAGAACACTTGAGATTCATTTTTTTCTTCATTCACCTCTTACCTTCATCTTCTCATCGTCTAATTGTCTTGCTTTTCTCATGATTAAATTAACTTTCCATATGAGGCGAATGTTGGTGGAAAAAAGAATTCATTGTTTTCTTTCAATTTCGTTACGAAGATAATCGAGATATTATTCTTTCCTTTTTGTTCTCACATTTTTTTTCTTTGCCCTTTTCTTTCCTCTGGTCTCATTCATCATGTTTTTACTGATTGATGTTGAGCTGAATTTCAATTCTTGGTGTGTCTTCCATGATTGATTTGTCCTTTTCTTTTCCATTTTCTTCATTTTAACATGAAAAGCTTTTTAATATCAAATGATTATCATTTTGATGTTTAAATTGGATAAGTTGATCTTCTTTCCTTCGAGTTTTTTTATTCCTTGGAAAACTTTCCAAATCATATTTAAATCGTATTGATTCATCATAATCAATCATGATCATCATTTGTTGAAAATATCAAGAAAAATATTTTCACCCAAAATGACGAATTAATATTTTCCAGGAAAAAAAGAGACTGAATAACAGACCAATGGTTATCAGCGTGAAAATGAAACATTACTTGAACACTCACCATGAATCCATTATCATCAACTCACCATGAATGGTTTAATTAAATATTTAATCAATGAAGAAATTAACATTTTCCCTTTGATTGTTTACTCAATTGGTTTGCTTCAATCATTGATCAACATTCATCAAATCGATTGCAATTGAAAAAAATGATTTCCTCAGTTGAAACATGAAACTTGGAAGCTATTATTAAAACTAAAAATGAGTTCAAAGTGATGAACAAGTAAATGATTTCAAGCTTAATAAGCATAATTAACTCAACTATATTTTTGTTCACTTAAAAGGAAACTATCAATTCTGTAAAAAAATTCAATGTTCATTGAGTAAACAAAGTTGTGAGCAAAAATGAAAAGGCTCATGATTGTCAATCAAATTGATACACTTTTGACAAACTATTTTACATTTTTGCTTATAATTCAGATCATTAGTTTTTACAGCTTTCAACTGAACAACCATAAATTTTCAAATCAATAACTTCATTTAGCGAAACAGAAACACAATAAATCGACTAATCAGTTAATTCAGTTTCAACAATTGCTCAATATTCTGTATTTGAAGGTGGCTAAACGAACTTCATGAAACTCCAATTTTTGGCTTGAAATCATTTTCGGTTTCAGTCACCTGAAGTAAAAGTCCAACGTGAATAGATTTTGAGATTTTTTGCAAATTTGAAGACTTTTTGATATTGAGTTTGAAACAGTTTCATTTATAAAAATGGCTGAATTAGAATCTGATTAAAATCTAGTTTCTATCGAAACTTGAGTTTAGACTTTTTTTGCTCTACTTCTTGACTTTTATTCAGTGAAATGAGATCGTAATAAATTTATTATCTCTTACGATTTAAAGCTTTTCATCACCAAATTTAAATCATTTGAAGGCAACTTTAAACACATTCAACTTGCAGTAATTGAGTGTTGAAAATTAGAAACTTTGAAATAACAAGAATAACATTTGACATAATCCTGAGTAGCTAAACATGGAGTCTCAATGGTATTGCCTTTTAAATTACTTTCAAAGATATTATTCTGATCTTCAACTCACTCCAGTTCAACAATACTTTTTAATGAACAAACAACAAAAGTTGAAAGCGTCAAATCTGGAAACACTTGAATTTGATGGAATATTTCAAGTTACTTTTTTTGCATGGAAAATGCAATTTGTAACATTTTTTATTTTCATATTTCAAGCAAACCTTTTTATCGAGTAATTGGGTGAGTTTCATGGAAATTCAAAATTCCCTTTGAATAGTTATCTCTTGGTTATTCGCAAAAATACAAAAGTCAAAGAACCAATTCCAAGTTTCTTTTCAAAAAATTGTTCAAAATCTACTTTTTGAATCCAATGTCCAGTCACAATCAAATGTTAACATTTTTCCAACTTTTTTCTGCTCGAAACATTGATTTAGAACTCGACTAATTTTTTCATTCCCTTTTCTGACTTATGAATTTCAACTCATAAAATATCAGATTAAAAGTGATCTGATTAACCAACAACCCAAAAACTGGTTAAGTGAACATTGAAATTCTGGTAATTCGTTGATCCATTTTCAGTCGATGACAAATGAAACACAAATAATATTTTTTTATAATTTATTATTTCTTTTCCATTCTTTACTCAGCAAGCTTTCCAATTGTTCAGTTCAATTGTTGACTTTATCGAACTTTCAATTCAATTTTTTCTCCCTTTTCAACTTTTCCTTATGAATGTGTAACAAGAGTAAAAATGAAATTGACCAAACATTGAACTGAGTAAAATGAACCATGAATATCTTGTGGTCATCTAAGGTCACTTTGAGTTACTTTTCTTTACCTTTTTTTGCCTTTCTTTTGATAAAAACTAATGATAATGATAATGATGATCAGAAATGCTATTAAATGTTAGAGTAAACTCTTTCTCTTCATTCAATCATTCAATTGCACTTTCATCAACATTCTACATTTAACCTGGTTCCACTCTGAGTTTTCATCTTCTCTTCCTATTCCTCTTGTTTCTTTGTCATCTTAAGCTAAAGGCTATTGTCACTTAACACAATCATCTATCATCACCTTTGACAGCTTTTATTTTCTAAATCGTCAGAAAGAAGAAGAAGAATTGATAACGTCAACATGGATTCCATTAACAATTGACCGAAAAGTCAAGTTACTCCATTCACAAGATTAACTCTCACTTTACACTTGATTATAACTCAAAGCTTTAATTATAATTCATTCAATTCGATTGATTTGTAACCAGCAAAGTTACAACTAATGGCAAAGGGTTTAAAGAGTGTCACTGGAATGGAATCAACATTTAACTATTTAAATGTACTCATTAAGTGTTGATTAATTCCGAAGATGAAAAAAAGATGAAACAATTGAGAGAAAAAAATATTGCAATAAATCAAGAGTTGAGCTTATCGATAAATGATGATGATTCAACATGATGAATAGCGTTGAAATTGAATTAAATTACACTTGAAATTGAAAGTTAATTTCAAGAGTTGAATGAAAACAAGTTTTACTGATGTTTCATTTTCACTCAACTAAGCGTAATTAAATTGATTTCATTTTGACGATCAGATTGATGGCAACATCAAGTGAACATGTTGAGCCATTTATTTTCAATCAACATTGTTTCAATGAGTAAAGGTAAAAGGTTTAGAATGGGAAAAACTTGGAAAAGGTCGAGTTTCGAATGTTGGTTCGAAAGGCTTAAAAAAGGAGGAAAAGATGATGTTAATGAAGATGGGAGTGAAGATGAAAGAGTGGAAAGAGTTACAGTTTAGTTGTCAAAAAGGACAAGCAAGATAATCTTAGCTATTTTTAGTTGCATCCTGAGAGCCTTTAAAAATTTAAGTCACAGGAATGAGTCTTTTGGGTATCGTAAGTCAAATCATTGAACCATTCAGATTGAAAGATGTAAGGCTGAGGAAAGAAGGAAAAAGACAAATTTTTAGTTTTCTTGTTGTTTTGAAAAGACAAGACTTCTTTTCATTTAAACTCCCAGTTGGGAGTTTCAAGTCTCATTGGAATCACCGTGTTGATATGAGAATGGAAAAGTTGTGAAGACAAAAAAAGTGATAAACATCTTTTCAGGTAACTCAACTTGTTCATCCTTCATCTTTACCATCGTAATCATCATCATCATCAAGTTGTTAAGTTAAAGCTCGCCTGAGATTCATTTTTGGTTGAGTTAATATTGTGTTGCTTTTGTTTCACATTACAAAATGATTTCTCGGTTTACTCAGTTTATTGCCATAATCGTTGTGTTTAAATATTAATTGTCATCAATTTGTTTTTACAAATGAAAAATGGTAAAACAATTAAACCTTTACCTCAACATGACAAAGTAAAGTCAATAATCGATCGATAATGGATGAAAGACTGGAAAAAAATCGATAAATAATCAGAAAGTTAACTAACATTTTTTGTTCTTCTCAATGTTGAACTGAAAAACTTGCAAAATTTGCTTCATTTAATCAATTGCTTACAATTGAATGGGTTAATTGGTGAAACTGCATTCCCTAAATTTCAACTGATCGGCCAACCTTTTGAGGCTAAATTTTTGTTTCAACATTGATTCTTGATCAACAGAACTTGTTGTTTACTCAGAGAACCAATATTTATCAATTAATCATAGTTAAATAATTACTATCATAAATTGCGGCCCATAAAATGGTTATAAATCAAGTGTTCATTGAAATGGAAAAGCAAACAGAGAAAAGTCAGATTCCTTAATTAAGCCAACAATAATAATAAACAATTAAATTCCGTAATAAATCCAATCTATTAACAGTTAACATTAATAAATCAACTTTTCATCTAATTTACAAAAGGTTAAAACCTAGGCAAAAAAGGAATCAACAAAATTGCTAATTAATAACAAGTTATCATAACAGAAATCATTAATTAATCTGTAAAATAAACTAAATTAACGTAAATTTTCATTCACCAATACAGTCTAACATGGAGATAATTATGAAAGTAAAATGTTTAATCTTTTACTAATTTGCTTGTAAATCGTTAAGGTTGACTCTAATGGAGACTTTTGATATTCATCAAAACCCAAACAATTGTCATTATTGGAGTAACAAGTTGATTCAAATTGCATTGTTTACCAATTACAATTACTTTTGCGACTCTTACCTAAACTAGGAAAACTTTAATTGATTAAGTAAATCTCAAAGGTCTCATTATGCTAATTGTTACGATCAACAATTGAACAAGAAAACAAGAAGCAACATCTGAAGGCAAAACCTAGGAAAAGTAGAGTCTCTTGCCAATGAAACAAAAGTTGACAAAAAAGAGTTTACTTTTACTTCTGTTTTGCTCTTTGTTTCTTTCCGGTAATAATTTTAATTGTAAACATGTTGTTGAATCAACTGTTCATTTTGTGAATTTGCAAATTTTTTCAGGGAAAATCTAATTTGCTTGCATTGTCAAAATTGTTGATCGTTAACCTTGCAAACAATGTTTGACTTTTGAATCATTTTTTTAAAAATAAACCTTTCCAGTTTAACAATGTAAACATTAACGATTTCAAAATTAACTCACAGCTGCTAATTATAAACTGAATTGTATTGAGTTCAACTTGAAACCAAACTGAAAAAACTCTGCATCAATCAATGTTAACTAAAAATAATACAATCTTGCCAATAGAGTAAATAATAACAATATTGTGGAGAGTAAACATTGGAAATGCGAGCAACTGAAAGAGTTGGTAACTTAATTTAAATTACAAATTATAATCAATTAAAGATAATAAATTATCTTTGAATTATAATTTGTTGTTCTTCTCTCATTGCAAACTGGAATACGATGGTGCTAATTATGTTAATGATGTTGATAATGATGATGATGATGAAAAGTTGAGTTTAGGACTTCACATTGAAATTTGATCTTGGAGCGTTTGTTAACTCTTTTTTTCCCTTATTGATGGAGGATGAGTAACTGAAAGAAAGAGTAAACAGAATGATTATAATCTGATGATGTTAAATTTTCATTATCATTTGTACTAGAGGAAAATGAGATGAAAGAGAGAGAAAAAAATTGTTGAGAAAATGTTGATATTTAATCTGAAAATGATGATCCATAATTTTGTTTATGGATCATGCATAATGTCATCAACATGTAAGAAAATAATGTTTGTTAGATTAACGATGATGAAGCTCATTTAGTTGAGAACATTTAACTTTATAAGAGAAAGTAAGATGATGATAATTAATTTCAATTCAATCAGCATTTCTCAACAATATTATAATATCATCATGATAATCACCATTTTATCCAATCAATCAATGTGTCACTTAGTCCATTTTTGTCATGTTTTGTGCTATTGGGTAAAGAAGAAGAAAAAAGGAGAATGAAAAATGTGATGATAAAATTCATGTTGATTTAAATCATCAAAAACATGCACTTACATGCACAGTGAGTTCACCATTTGATGGGAAACTTTAAGCTCATTTGTAATCCGAACTTTATTACGCACTTGGTAAGCTTTACCACGTTGTCTGGTTGTTTTTTACTGCTTGTTTACTTATAAACATGATGAGACGAATGAATAACGAAAGTGTCACTGTTTGCTGGATAATACTTTTACAATTATTGATTGGGGAACACCTAAAACCAGGAAACTGTCAATTGGAGATACAATGAAAAATTGAAAAGGAAACTGAAACTGAATAAAATATCTCACAATGAGCCAACAGACAATGTTTCAAAGTTGACCTTGAGAAATGGTAAGCTGTTCAGCTGATCTTTTACACTGTCACTTGTTTCCATATCAATTCATTATTCACACGAATCAATGTCAATTGAAGGCTTCCATCAGGTCAAACAAATCTGAACACATCTTGGAATTGAAAAGCCAAATATAACTAGAGTGCCAGAAAATCTGAGAAACAAACAGAAGAAAAAAAAAGATTGATATCAAAGTATGAACAAATAACAGTTTTTGTGAGTGTAAATAACTCTATCTGATAAGCTGGTTAATCTGGTTAAGCTGGTAACGAAAGTCTAACGTAAGACCAAAGTTGAGATATTCAATGACTATTAGGTATTTACAGGTTAAAGTGAATAGTATAAATAACTGTTTGGTTAAACTTATCTGTATACTTACTGGATTTCATGGGACAGCTTAACTCCAGATTGTTGGAAGCCAAATGTGACATCAGAAGCAGATTATTGATAAACTGGAGGACAAATTGGTTACATAATTAGTTTACGGTTGAGGTTGCAAAGTTAATCTATGCTTCTTACATGGGATTAAATAAATTCTATTATCAATAGAATCATGAGTTAAGAAGAGTTGATTATTCTTTTTGGCGCGCTCCATTTTCCACCAGTAAATTTATAAGTTTATTCAACCAGATTTGTCTGCTCCATCCCTGGAATCCATGATAGTGATGGTAATCTAATCAAAAGAAAAGGTGTGAATTAGAGCAAATATGATAAAAGTTATGCAACCAATATACCTTAAGAAACAATTTTGTAGCAAACCAGATTATTAGGTCTGAAAGTATATTTTCCTCTTCCTTTGCTCCTTATATTACAATCTTTCAATATATTTTGTTGTTGCCATGATTATTGAATATTCACTACATCAGAATGTTTAAATTTTTATCAACAAGATACAATGAAAATGGTTCTCAGGTTTTCAATTGTGAGTTACGCCTCAAGGCTTTATCATTCGCCATTTCTTTACTTTGATTGAATAGAGAGAAAAATATAGTGAATTTAAGGAAGAAGAAGATGATAAAGATGAAGAGGATGAAGAATGAAATAAATAAAGAATAAGAGTGGAAAAGAATGAAAATAAAAAGAATAATATGTACATAAATTGAAAGTTTTTTTTCAACTTCTTATTCTAATATTTATCCCAAGTACATCAAAATTTATGAGTGAAAGTATTAGTGAAAAGATGAAGATAAATACTAAATACAATATCTAAATATATTATATTCACATTGTGACATTTGTTAGACTTGTTTTCAAAATTCTTAGAGGAAGAAATTCAGAAATATTAGCTGAGAAAAATGAAATGGAAATGACAAGATTTAAAAATAAAATCTTCTTTTCTCCTTTTTTTTCTTATACTCTTCTTCTTTCTTCATCATATTCTTCAAAATCATCATTACACACTTTGATTTGAACATTCAACATATCAAAATCATGTTGAGGATGAATTTGAAGATAAAAGACAAGTCACAATCAAACTATATGAGAAACCTGTTGAAGTAAATAGTGATGATGAGTCAATACCAAGGTGTTATATTAAATTCCAAGATTGCCAAAACACATGAATTTCAAGGCATTGGATAAACGAAAACACATATTTCAACTGAAAAAGAAGGAAAACGAGAAGATATTACGAATTACTAGCAATACGTTATTAGTAATAACAAATAAATTATTAAATATTTGTTGATAGTTGTTGTACTTATTTTATAATTGATTACTTACTTAGCTTTTACCACTTTCAAACGTTGGACTAGTATTCAAGGCTTTTTTTCATCGATTAATTATTTTTTTTCTATCAGCAATCAAGAGTGGCTGAATCGAAAAAGATTGGATTAAACAGCAAATTGAAATTTTAAGATGGATTCACATCAAAGCTTCAAGTCGATGTTAAGAGGAACCAATCCTTAAAATCACAGCACAGAGTGTTAAGTCTTTTGATAAACATTGAATTTTCAGTCAGACAAGTTACTTTGAAACGATTTAAAAACAAATTAATCGGATTAAAGTTAGATCCATAATAATCTCCAAAATTAAAGCGAAACAATTATAAGATAGAGAATCGTAAAAAACATCTTGTTCTTTCAATGGATATCGTATGGTAGTGAAGTACAGCTACAGCCACTCCAATTAACGTTGCTATTAATCCACCAATCCTAACTGTAACGGTAACCTTTTACTGGACAATCAGAGAAGAAAGAAAAATGAAATAGAATTAAAATGATTTTCAATAAATTTAGATGCAAAAATACTTACAGCAGACGATATGGAAATTTTACCGCGAAAATGATGGAAATGAAGAAATGACTGCAGACTAATTTACACCAATAATGACCAATTTTATCCTAAAATGAAGCACATTTCCAGTCGAGATTCAAAAATTTAACGAAAGAAATAGTAAATAAATTGAAATAAATAACAATAAAAATGAAATTAACGGTTAAGACGAAGAAAAGATTAACATCTTGAAAATGAAAGTCAGACGATACACTCTTTAGGGAACGTCTCCTAATTAAGTCTCGGCAAGTAGTACAATAAATGAACGTTAGGCTTATAACTTGAAGCTTGAACATTACATTTGATTGCTAATAATAATTTAGTCTCACCTTTTAAACCAATTGGCTTAAACTTGAAACAATCAACATTATCATCTCCATTAACATGATTGATAAACATTGAATAATTCATGTAAACAGATAATGGAAAAATAGGAAAGCAGAGAAAAAACGAGAGCAAAAAAAAAGAGAAGCCAAACAAAACTAGAAAAGCTATCATCTAAAACATTAATCACAGAGCCATTTCTCAACATTTGATTGTATCTAAATATCATGATAAATCAGATTATAACAAGGTGTAGAGAAGAGAGAAAGAGAAAGAGAGAAAAGAAGAAAAAAAATTCAAAAAAAAAACAAATAATCTTTGAAGATAAACTATGATTAGATGAAAACAGTTAAGGTTTCACTAAGGTTTAAACAATGAAGTCAAGAAAAGGTATCCAGTTGAATAAAGGTAATTGTCATCGTTTGAATTAATTTTGTCCTCTTTTCACTCTCAAAATTCAAATCGAACATTCAACTCACCAAAGGTCATTCAAGAATGAAAATGACCTTTAAATCCAACAGCAAATGGCAAGAGAAAAAAAGATTAACCTTTTGTTGCATCAATGGTCCACAACAATTTGTTGTGATTGAAGTGTTGGTGTAAAAACTCAATTGATTGCATGTTGACAGGAAGTTGATTGACATTGCATAAAACACATGCTAATATTAGCGACACTCAACACAATTTAGCATATTTTTATTGATGAAACAACAATAAACATAATTGTCTGATCGGCAAACAAAACACTTCAATCAAAATTAAACAAAAGGTAAAAACCTTTCCTCATGTTCATCACCAACATCGCCAATCTTGAGGTAAACCTGAAACTTCCTGAAAAGTTTCATCAAATCATTGGAAATTACCTCAACATTGAAAAGCGTAAAAAAAAGAGTAAACTTGAAAATCTTATTTTTGCCTAAAATAGTCAATTGATTCATCCAATGAATGAATCTTTGAATTTGATTAAAACCAAAAATAGAACCAAATGTTGATGATTGCCTCAAGGGAATCCAATTGTGATCCAATCTGACCATTAATCAACTCAAACCACAACCAGAAATGTCTTTCATTGTCTCCATCTTATGCTAATAAATTGAATTTCAAATGATTGATTAGTTTAATTATCAGCCTGTAAATGCTGGGAATCAGTGAGATATAAAAAGGTTGCTAAGACTGAGTGTTATAATAATGATAAATTAATAATGTAAAGTTAAAAGGCATTACAATTGAAATTCAAGGTTGATAGTTAATTGAGCATAATAAATATAACAAAATAGTAATCATTATGTCAGGTCATGTCTATGGAAACAATTGAAAGTCACACAATTTGATTGAAGCAATTTACTGTAAACACTTTATCACCATTAAAATTACGATTCTCATCTTGATCTCTCAATTTGCATGGCGATCATCACCAAGTCCAGAGACAGAAAGTGAGAAATGAAACAGATGAAAAAAAAAGATCTGAAGTAAACCAGTAAATAACAGCTAAACATGTTACAATAATATTGTCATGAAGATGATTGACATTGAATGATGCTATTTCAAGGATCAAATGTATCATGTGGTTCCTTGGTTACCTTGAATCAGCTGAGAGTTGTGAGATGATAACTTGAAATGGATTGAGTAAGTTTAGTTTCCATGTGATTCTTCACCAGCCCAGATCAACATGTTTATTTCAAAAGTTATTAGCACCATTTTACAGTTTATTAATCAACTTTTACTAATTAATTTAAACAGAGACACATAAAGTAATTTATATTACAACGTCACCAATTTTGATATTTAATTGCAATTCTCATCATTAACATCCATTTGGGATTCACTGTTTAAATGTATTTTTTGTGATTGATTGATACATTTAATGACAACTCATTCATTAATCATCTTAATCGCCATTAATTGTTAACATTTAAAAGACTCGTTTTCACTTCATTTCTCCTTCTTCTTCTTTTTCCAGGTAAGTTTCATTGTTTCTCACTTTATCAGATTACCTTCAATATGAGATTAAACTGTTTTCATTTTCATATCAACAAGAAATCACTTGTTCACAGGTTGTTTTGTACTCGCTTTAACCTCTTCATTAAGGTAACATTTAGACGAAAACTCTTGACTCATCTTATCTTGAGCCTTTCATTAGAGACAATTGTCTATTAATAATCTATTCTCATGATTATCATGATAGCATTTCCCCAGTTTCACCTTGTTACCTGTTCCTTCCTTCATCGATTCGTTAATCAGTTTACAAATTAAATTGTGATTTCCGTTTTTCTTTTCCTTTTCATTTCGCTCAAAGACTTGAATAGCAAAAAGGGTTTCAATTTAATCTCATTTCCATGTTATTTGGTGAATTAACTTTTCCACTTTCATTTGACTTACTAACTCTGATTAACAATCAACATTGATTATCGTTATATCAATAAGAAGCAAAATGTTAACATGAGAACAGAAGAGAGAAAGAAAAATCTGAAACTGATAAAGTTTACTCAAGAAGCGAGAAAAAGGAGAAAAAATCAATTCTGGTGTTTTGTTTGTTGACTGTTCATGGTTTTCTAGGTGTTGTTGATATTGTTTCATGGTTGCGGTCCAAGGGACCATCGAGTGTACACTGACCATCCAATAACAGCAAAACTGAATCTCCATGTTATCTTCAATTATATTGATAACATTGGTTTACTTTACTCAAGTAGATAACATTTTCATGCTTTCTCTTTGTTCATTCACTTCTCACACTTTTAAATGTGTTGAAAAAAACTCTGATGGATTGAACCGGAACTTTTTCCTCTTCTTCTTCTTCTCTCCTTACCTCATCATTTCCCTGTCGATTCCTTGATTGCTCTCACTGGAATTCACTTGATCCGGAAAGATGTGCTAAAAGGCTTTTCCGGTTCAAAGACTAATGTCCATTCAAATGGTCATTTAATTATAATCTTTGGTAGTTTCATCAGTCAAATGAAACTCAACTTGATGGAATCTTTGGAACACTTTTTTTCTCAAATGTCAACCAATACTGAATCAATTTCAACCTGAAATTCATTTTCAATCATTTCTCTTCTCCTTTGTTTCATTCATTTGAATTGATCAAGATTATTGACAGCATTATACAGCCGCGAAAGAAAAGTTTGACATAGTTACCACTAACTTCACGCATATACAATCGTATCTAAGCACAATCAGCAAATCAATCTCAAACAATATCGTTGTCATTTAAAAGTTTGACCATCGATTACCATTGATTGTAAATTTTTATCACACTTAAGGTTCATCTCTTCTATCTGATTACATATCCTAAGACAATCGATGGTCAAACAATTAAGCAACAACGATATTGTTTGAGATTGATTTGCTGATTGTGCTTAGATACGATTGTATATGCGTGAAGTTAGTGGTAACTATGTCAAACTTTTCTTTCGCGGCTGTATTAGATTCTTATTGTGAAAATAAGATTAAAAATATCGATCAAAAAACAGAAAATTAACCTTGTTTTCGCCTGATTCTATTTTCTTCTCTTCTCATGTTTTCTTCTCTTTCTTCTTTCTTCACCGGGAATCATGGTTGATGTTGGGTTAACTCTTTCTGCTGATTCGATGAAACATGTTAACATTGAATGGAAAGCAATAAAAATGATTACAATCATTCATTTCTTTCGCCTTTCCCATATGATTTTATTTCAATCAAATCGATAGATAATAACCAGATTCTTTCCACTTTTATCAGCAATGATACCAATAATTGTAATAAAATAAGTAAAGGAATCGAGTTTGTAAGCTTCAAATGAATCAAAATATTGATGTCATTGAGAGTAAAACAAAGATACAGAAAAAGAAGAAAACTCAATGTACAATAAGGTGAATCAGGATAAGAAATGACAAACATTGCTGATAGTATTTCTGAGAAATTCATTCATCGACAGTTTGTCATGGAAATGTTGCTGAACTCAGCTAATAAATGCTTAAGATTTTATTCCAAAATTTTATTCCAAAATTTTATTCCAAAGAATTGAAAACGAAAAGTTTGGAAAACAAATTTAGAACAATAATTGAAAAGAAATTCTTGTTTTTAAAATATGGAATTTCATGTTTTTCTTTCAATGATTTTCTGTGATTTGACAGAATCTGGTGATTCCATTTAGGTAAAGGTGATTTGATTGATGAAAATGTTTCTCTTGCATTTCTTTCACCTTTTGCAATCTGTTGAAATTAATTTTCATCTTTACTCAATTCCGAGTTTCTTTTTCTTACCAAACTCGGTGTGAAAGATAAAAGGCTTGGAAAAGTTGGTTTATCTCATGATTAACTTTGTATACATTTAGGTTTGTCACATTTCTGGTTCTTAATGCCAGATAATCCAAGCTTCATGATCTCCCATTTTGTTGAGTTTGAAACAGAATTGGCGACCAATGATAGTCACTGGGTCAATGCCTTGTTAGCCTTTAAATGCTTTGGTCAAGTTAAGGTTAGATTATTATATTGACCAAGGTTAGGCTATAACAATAAACTCAAGAATATTGCTCTTCTCTTTTATTGTTTATTCAAGATTATTAAGACAGTAACTCAGAATAATGAACAATTCTTGAGGATTCAGCTGTTACTCGAAAATCGTGTCAAGTAAAGGCACAAAGTTGAAGTAAAATGTAAATTCAATGTTTACTGTTGATATTGTTTCCATTGACCTTCAAGAATAAATCAGTGAACATGATTTCCTCAGTTTTGGAAGAAACATTTTGTTTCATTTCAATTGACATTTGCTTCTTAAAGAGTCTCTTGAGGTAAATTGAATTAAAAGTTGAACTTGATTTGAATTTTTAAAAATAGAAATTTCAATTTCTAAAAAAACGAAAAGGCTAAAGCTCTTGATTAACTCTTTTTTCATCTGTTTTATAGCGATCAACATGATCATGAAAAGCATGTTTAGTCTCGATAAGAATAAACAGCAAAAGTGAAACACTGAAACTTTGAAACGGAAAAAAGTTGAAACTCGAAAATGAAAAACAACGAAAAAATGAAGAGCAAAACTTTAATCCATTTCATTCAACACAATAAAAGTAAAGAAATAAACAAACAAGTTCTGACAAGAAACAGTTCTAATACAGTTTCTCAATATTTATTTTCCTCGTGAACCATAATGAGGCTGACATGGTTAAAAATAGGTGAACCAGGGAAGTGGAAAAGAAAAAGTTTCCATGATAAAGTTGCATGAACAGGCAACCAAAAGTTGAACAGCAAAAAGTCCAATATTGATCAGCTTCTAATGTCATACACTAGAGTACTTCATAACTTGGTAGAATTTCGTGTTGGCGCCACCTATTGGATTGACCATTTTAAAACCATTTTTGTTCAATTATTTAATTATTTTGATGCGAATATCTTAAAATTTAGTCAAAAAAGTTGAATTGGCATGTAAACTTTACTGGAAAATGGGTTTCCTGCAGAATTAATCAGCCTAATCTCCTAATAACTAAAGGTCTTTTTTGTCTATCCAGCTCTTGACTCTCATAAAGACGCGAAAATGTTCTTTTCTATTGAATAATCAAATTATCGTGTTTTTGACTTATTCTGATTTATTTGACAAGAAATTTTTACTTATTCTAGTAAATTTGACTCGCTAATTCAACTTTTTGTAATAAAATTTGAGTAATTTTGGTTGAAACAATTAAAAAACCCCTTTAAATGGTTAAATCCAATAGGTGGCGCCAACACGAAATTCTACCAAGTTATGAAGTACTCTAGTGTAATTCATCTGTGAAATGAAAGTAAAAAATTTAATGAACTTTTCAAGTTTCGAGAAAAAGCAAGATAAAAGGAACGACGAATTAATCAACAACAATAATGATATCAACAGATAAGTAGCATCATCAATAGAACATTTGGAGACTTCATTTGGTCTTCATGAGGGAAGAAAGAAGAACAAGTTTTCTCATGAAAATGATGAGCTTCTTGTGATTGTTACAAAGAGGGAAATGTCGAGTTTTAAAATTAAAGTTTGAGCAAAATTTTTCTTCTCCAATTGATTTATAGCTAATGTTTTACTGTTTACTGTTCATACCTTTTCATGTCAACACAGAAGTTTCTTGTGAAGGTTGGAAAAGCTGAAAGTTAGAAAAGAATATTATTTCATGATATTTCAAGTTAATAATGTTGATCAGAAGGAAAACACAAGAAGAAAACAAAGAAATCCTTCTTCATCATTATCATCTTTTCCATGAAATTTTGTTGTTTACAGATTTTTTTCTCTGAACTTTTTTCTTCTCCTTCTCTTGTTCAACATGATTGAGAAAAGGAAAGAAAAGGATCAATGTTGTTTCAATTTCTCTCATGAATTTTGAACAGATTGAATGCCATTCTGGGAATTTATCATTTCCTATTTTAATGATAAATTTTTCAAACTAAATCAGGTCAAAGTTTATCATTGATGCATTGATCTTGATTTTATTCACTTTTTCCCTGCAATCTCTTGGCTGGCAAGAATTTCAAGAAAAAAAAGAAAAGAATTTTACTTTTATCCTTTTCCTTGAATCCAGTCAGAACAATTTTCATCAACTCACCACGATTTTCCATGAGCTACAAGAGTTGAAGACTTTTCTCTTTAAATGTTATTCGTTTTCATCTTCTTCTTCTTTTATAACAAGTTTTGAAATCATGAACTTCCAAAGTTATTTGTTACAGAACTTTGAGTGTTTAGGAATAAGATGAGGAAAAAATATGATATGATGAACCAGAGAAAAGAAGAGAACATGAAAAAAAGAAGAAAAATCTTGAACAGAGAAAAGTTTAGATTTCGATTATTTCTTGCCTTTTCTTTATTCGCTTCTCTTACCGATTCATGATTCCTTGTAATGTAAGAAAAGGATTTCAAGATTCTTCAAGGGATTAACCAAGAATGCTGAACCTTTGGATTTGGAATAAAAGTTGAAATCAATTTTCTTCCAACTTTTGTCTTGAAATATTTTAAGGATCAATAGCAAACATTTCAACATAATTGATGCAATTGAGTTTATCTGAGAAACATGAGAATGACAATAAAAAGCGCAACTTGGCAAAGAAACCTCCGGAATTAATCTGATCGAGTTCAATGTGTTTCTTCATTTTGTTATCATGTTATTCAGTTGCCAGGTAAATAAATGGATTAAAAATGTTTTCATATTTTTTCTTCTTCTTCTTGTCTCACTTGTTCGGTTACGTTTTTATAAGTGTTATTGATAATCACTTTTTTATTACATTGTTATCATGCAATTGGGATGATTCAATGGAATAAATGGAATGAACCTTTTTGTGAACATTTTTTTTCTTCTTTTTGTTTTTTCTTCTCTCGTTCTCTTCATTTCTCCTTTTGCTCTTTGTTTACTCGTCTTGCTGCTTGTCTGTTCCTTCCCATGGTAACAATTGTTCTCCTTCATGAGCTTAACCAGGATTAAATGATGACTGGATTAACCATGATAATAATGATAATGGAAATTGGAAAGAAAAGAAGAAAAAAGTTTCTTCTTTCATGTCAACGTTTCACTCAATTTTACATCATTTTCCGAGTTTTTCTTCTTTTCCCTGATCATCATGTTTAATAATGAGTCTGATATGAATAAGATTGTTTCGTTAACGAGAATTTAATGTCTTGCAAAAATCGAGTTCATCTTTTTTTCCTTTCATTTTATCTCCATTCAGGGGAAGAAAAAATTGAAAATTTGTAAATTTCGTCTTCTCTCAACAAATTTTCTTGCTATTCATTAGTTTGTTTGGTCAATGAAAGGCAAATGGAAATGGAATTGACTTTTGAAATCAATTGATGGCAAATGCTACTTTTCATGATGAAAGAGTCAACAGAAATGGTCGAAATTGAATTTTTTCATTTTAGATTCAATTTCGAGAAAAGCTGAGACAAAAAATGTGATTCAATTTATTCCAATTACAATTGATTATGCTTCATGAAAATGTAAACTTAAAAAGTTTATTTTTACCATTAAACAGCATTTCCAATTTAAATATCAACTTCGGCAAACAGTTGAGTGCAATATGATTGTTGAACAAAAACAACATTTAAAGGTAACTTTGAGCGTCAACAAGTCTGAGCACTTAAATGCATTCTCATGAAATCTTTATTTTTTCACCATTTTTTTGCTTCTCTAACGATCAGTTGATTATTTCATCGCATTCAGGTGAAAAAATGAATTCAGTGTAAAAGTAAACTTTGTGTTCATTTGGTACAATTGATTAAATTTTTGCTCTTCTTTTCATGATAATCTGGATAATTCAACATTCATTCAACCGTTTATAAGGGTTTCGTCGTTTAATGATCATCACAATGAAGTTGTAGAGAGCTTATTTTTAGCGCTCCATTAAGAGCGCTCCATAAAGAGCCCTCCATTAAGAGCGCTCCACTAAGAGCGCTCCATAAAGAGCTCTCAAGATTAACTCTCACTTTAAGTTCCCTTTAATCCATATTTCCCTCTCTAAGGCCATGATCCTTAATCCTTTCCATTCCTTACTTTTTCTTAACGTCCAATCTTTTCTCTACTTTAACTATTATTGACTCTACGAGCCCTCAGGCTAAGACCAAATGTGATCTCCAAGCGAGAGCTCGAAGTGAGCTCTCATTTGAGAAGTCAGAAAGAGTTTGACCTTCGATAGAAGCGTTTGTTTTCTCAGTTTTCATACAAATAAACTTTCTTTGTTTCAACAACTATTCATCTTTGTAGTTTGATCTATTCATATTTCATTCATTTCGTACTATTTCATTTGTGATCACTACAAATTGGCGCAGTCGACAGGATGGCCAATCCTTTGAAAATTAAATTTACTTTGGTAAGAAGAAATGAGCAGGTTTTGGTAACAAGATATTGTATATCCGGATCTGATCAATGGACTCTCGTTAGAGAAGAATCTCAACCCATAGCCTTTCATCAAGCAATAAGTCAGATGGAACCAACGCAAATCGCAATTCGTGAGATGACTCGTCAACGGACCATCACCTTATTTGTCCCCTCAATCGATGCTGAAATCTACACCAATGAAACCTACAGTGCTGGATCCATTAGTGATGAAGCTTCTTCCAATAATGAGCCTCTCGCAGCGAGCGCTCAATCTGAACAGATGGCAAATATGTTTCAAGAACTTATGCGATTTCAGATGGAATCATTTCGTTCAATGTTCAGTAATCTTCAAGAGACTCTGGCTCCCATGCAAAGAAGCAAGAACCAGAGAATGGAGGTAACAAAGTTTAACGGCCGGCAGGAAGATGCCAAGACCTGGCTTATCAGTTATGAGAAAGCTTGTGAATTTAATGGCTGGATAACCGACGATGCTAAAGTCAACAACTTGAAGGCATATTTAGAAGGTGTCGCAATCAAGTGGTTCAACAGCAGATTGGTGGAAAATCTTCCTTTTATATGGCAACCCTGGAAGGACGCGTTTCTGGAATCTTTTGGACAGAACCGTCTGACACAAGCACAGTCTGCCCTTCAGTGGGAATACCGAGGTGGACCTCTATTGGAATACTATTATGAAAAACAACGATTGCTTCAGCTTGCTTTTCCTGAGCTAGAAGATTTCAACTTCATAACGTTAATGCTTTTGAGCCTTCCTGATGAGCTCTCAAAGCAAATAAACATTTCGGAAGTGAATACTAAAGATGACCTACGGCGAGTACTGTGTCAACTCAAACCAATGAAAGCCCGTGATCGTCGACCCTACGAAGATACCAAAACTAAACCCAAGAGTTCAAGACCAGAAAAGTCTCGAAACGATACTTCAAATATTTACTCATTCGATACAATACCTAAGACTCACACTGCAAGTGATGACAACGTCTTTAAAATAAGAATCAATGGACATGAAGCGAGAGCTCTATTTGACAGTGGTGCCAAGGCTAACATGATATCTGAAAGATTTGTCCAAGAAAAGCAGTTAAAAGTTGAGGAGCGCTCGTCTCTCGTCAAGGCATACAATGGTGAGATCTCACATTGTGATCTAAAAGTGAGCGCTCAGATTGAGTACTCAAATCGAGTTATCGACTTGAGTTTCATCGTGAACAAAGATGCAACTTATGATGCTATCTTGTCAATCTATGCCCTACAAGAATTGAAGGTAAAGTGGGACTTCGCAAACAACCAGATCTGTTGTGCTGTTACCGATTGCAGTCAATATGTGGAGAGCCTCGACCAAGCCAAGAATTCGTTTCCAAAGCTCTTTGAACCAAGTACAAAAGAGCCCTCGTTACAAGCTGATTTTAAATTATCACCCGACTCTCCAGTCATCCAATCCAAGGCATACCGCTTATCGCGTGAGAAATACATTTGGGCTCAAGGAAAAATAAAGGAATTATTAAGCATGGGGATAATTGTTAACTCGACTTCAGAATTCGCATCGCCGTGTGTTATTGTGCCCAAGGAGAATGGTCAGTTACGACTATGTCAAGATTACCGCGAAATCAACAAGCATACAGTTTTGGATCCATACCCTTTCCCTATTATCGACGAAATTATAAACATGTTTGGTGGTTGTAAATTCTTCAGCAAAATCGATCTAAAGGATGGTTTTTGGCAAGTAGGAATTACCAAAGAAACTCGAAAATTTAGTGCATTTGTCCTGCCCTTTGGACACTTTGAACTAACTCGTCTTCCTTTTGGATGGAAGAACTCGCCACCGATATTTCAACGCAAGATGGTTGAAATTCTTGATGAACTATTACAAACTAATAAAGTTGCCGTTTACATTGATGATATCTGTGTTGGAGGTGTCACGATGAGAGATTGTGCTGAGCTCTCATTTCGAGTGCTCAAAAAGTTATCTCAATTTGGGATACAAATCAACGAAAAGAAAAGTGTATTCTGTTCAGAAAGTATTATCTTTCTCGGACGTGTTATTGATGGTTTCACCAAAACAACTCGATCAGAATCAGTTGAACGAGTTAAGATGATGAGGAAGCCAACTGACCTTCACAGTCTCCGTTGTTTTACTGGCCTCACAGGACATTTCAGAGCTTTCATACCCAAATATGCTGAACTTGTTCGCCCTTTGGATAGATTGAAGCAAAAAGACGTGGAGTTCGAATGGAGCCCTCAATGTGAGCGCTCATATCAAGAGCTCATTAAGATAATCAGTTCAAACCCTATCTTAGGAGTTCCTGATTGGAATCTTCCTTTCGAGCTCTCATGCGATGCATCGTACTATGGTACTGGAGCAATTCTTTATCAACGAGACAAGAAAGAAGTACGCAATAAACAATTGCGAGTGATCGGATATTATTCTTATACTTTCACTAAGCCAGAACAGAACTACTCAACTACGGAAAAGGAATGCCTAGCCGTCATCAAAGCAATGAAATATTTCCGAAGCTACTTGGAAGGCAAGGAATTCAAAGTGCATAGTGACCACCAAGCCCTTTCTCATTTACTTTCACTCAAAGAGCCGAAAAACCGTCTCGGTCGTTGGCAGACATTCTTGATGAGTTTTAATGTTCAAATCAATCATCGGTCCGGTAGGGAGTTAACCGATGCAGACGCACTTTCAAGACTTTGCCCAGAAATACCAATGATTAATTTAGTATTACTATCGGATGAAAAGAAACGCATAGAAGTAAACCAAGACCAAGTGCCTGCCATTTTACAGTCTTATCACGATGACCCGTACTCTGGTGGCCATGATGGGATCTCAAGAACATACCATAAAATTTCAGCTCGTTTTACTTGGCCCAAGATGAAGGAAGATATCACAGACTACATAAGAACTTGTGACGTTTGCCAACGAGTAAAATCAAAACTGAAGCAGCATCAAGACTTTATGATCTTGCCTCAGCATTCAAAAGTCCCTTTCGAAGTCATGCATTTAGATTATGGCGAATTGACTAAAAAGAAAGAGGGCTCCGCGAAAACACATTCCTTTCTCGTTATGGTCGATGAAGCGACTAGATTATGCCAAGCAGTTCCAATGAAAGAAGATGCCTCTTCTTTAGTGCTCTTTTTGAGCGCTCACCCATCAATTGATAAAATCAAGAGATTGATTTCAGACTGTGGAAAATCTTTCATTTCTAAAGCAACTAGAGACCTCGCAACTAAGCTGGATATCAAATTGGTAACTACTTCACCATATAGCCCATGGTCTAACGGAATGGCGGAACGCCACGTTCAAAAGATAAAATTATTTTGCGAATGTTTTCCTGATTTCCCTGGAGGTTGGAAAAAGGCCATTGAAGCAGCAGCAAAACATAATAATCGTGCATACAATCGTGCTCTTGGTTGTTCACCATTTTTTAAAGCTTTTGGATACACAGACTGGCTACCGGCAGACAATCACTTTGGAGTAGTTGGTAATTGCGAAATAAAAGAAAAACCTTTCAGCGATGAGCAACAATTGAAATACAGAACTAAGATGCAAGAGTATCATAATAAAGGAAAAACTAGACCAATGAAATTTGAGGTCGGTTCAAAAATCTTAGTATTTAAAGGAAAAATTGGAAAAAAGTTCAAGTTTGAAGGACCATTTGAAATCAAGGATATCATTATCAAGGATGGACAGCAGAAGACAATTATCTACGATGAAAATGGACAGAAGAGTTTTGCACACATAAGGAATTGCCGTTCATATCATCCCAGGCGGGATAATTCCAAGTAACGGGGAATGTAGAGAGCTTATTTTTTTCCTTTGCTCTTAACGAGCGCTCCATAAAGAGCGCTCCATTAAGAGCGCTCCATAAAGAGCCCTCCATTAAGAGCGCTCCACTAAGAGCGCTCCATAAAGAGCTCTCAAGATTAACTCTCACTTTAAGTTCCCTTTAATCCATATTTCCCTCTCTAAGGCCATGATCCTTAATCCTTTCCATTCCTTACTTTTTCTTAACGTCCAATCTTTTCTCTACTTTAACTATTATTGACTCTACGAGCCCTCAGGCTAAGACCAAATGTGATCTCCAAGCGAGAGCTCGAAGTGAGCTCTCATTTGAGAAGTCAGAAAGAGTTTGACCTTCGATAGAAGCGTTTGTTTTCTCAGTTTTCATACAAATAAACTTTCTTTGTTTCAACAACTATTCATCTTTGTAGTTTGATCTATTCATATTTCATTCATTTCGTACTATTTCATTTGTGATCACTACAAACTATTACAAATATCATAACCAGAGAAGCGAGAAGAATGATGTTATTAAATGTTCTTTTCATCCAGTTTTTCTCTTGTCGTGTTTCCCTGTTATCATTTAATTCTCACCATGTAATCTCTAATTCCTAAGCCAATCTTCTTAACCAAAACAACAATCAACTGATTTGATTAATCAATTAATGAGTTTTGTTCAGACAAAAGCCAAGAAAATTTATCGATCGAGAAAAAAATGAAAATTCAATGGAAGTTTCAATGGAAAAACAAGATTCTCTTTGAATAAGATAATGAACTTTTTTTTGCACATTAATAGCAAGCAATTAATTGAACAAAAGAGTTCACTGAATGTTTGACCAATGAACGTGATGAACAAGATAATGTTTCGCTTACTTGATGAAGTTAATAAAGATTAGGTTAATGGAAGGATTAAGATGTGAATCAGAATAATATTGAATTTCCAGTCGAGGTTGAAGTGAAAGGTTAGATGAGGTTTGAGTGCAGATGAAAATGTTTGTTTAGTGAAGGTAAAGAAGAAGAAGAAGAAAAAAAAGGAAAAAACAATTTACTCGTGAATTATTCTCATGATAAACTTGACAAGGTAATCAACCATTTAAGCATATTTATTCCTACCTGAATCATGATCAGGTTGTGCATTTGTTGACTTTTGGTGTTCATCCCACATTGCGATACAAGTTAATGGACGAAACATTGGAAATTGTCATTTGGAATTTTTGATGAAACTCTTTTTTCCATCGTTCAATATATTGATGATAATCTAAACAAGTGAATACATTGATGTGTGCAACAAACAAACAGTTTTACTTTTCTCACTCCATTTAATGTCTTTTAATGCAATCATTTTAACCAGTTTATCTTCATCACCATTACACTGTAATTCACTCATCATAATGATGATCATGTTTTTTTTGCCAGTGTTTTGTGGAAAAAAAATGAACACACAAAACAGAATCATGATCGTCATCATTTTCTTGTTGAACTTGATGCTGCTTTTTGCTTTTCTTACATCAATGACAATTGATTTAACCTTTTTTGTCAAACAGCCTGTTGATTGAATCTCAAGATGCAGCTAAACCTTGTGAAAGCTCATCATGACGATGATATGATCAGCTTTACAACATACAATTGTGTGAAGTAAAGAGAGAGAGGGAAAAGTCATGAAATCAATAGTTAAAGTTCATGGAGTATTTATTGATGATTGTGTTGAGCTGAAGAGGAGCAAAAAAAGTGTTCATTATTTTTGAAATGAAATTGATCATTTGTTGGAGGAGAGCAAAGTTTTGATCACTCATCTTCTTTCAGTAGGTAAACAGAAAAAGATTGATGATGGTTAAGATGACAAAAAGTCGACTTGAAAACTAAATAACAAACTGTGAAATTAAGTTGAAAATTATCGAAGAAAAAAAAATGAATGAGAAAAATGTAATTTGAGAATTGCCAGATTTACACCAATCTTCAATGCACTCAATCATTCAATGAAAACTCGTTGAACGTTCCATTTTTTACCAATCAAGTCGAGTTTGGAAAAGTTTTCTTCGTCAAATTGGTTCATTCCAAGCATTCAAACGTCCGTAAGCAAACCTGAAGCTAATGAACTAAGCTCATGAGATATGAAACTTCTTTTGGTGTTAATCTCGAACGAAATTTTGCTCTTGAAAACTTACAAACGTTATCATTCTGAAATAGTCATTACTTTATTATCGCAAGTGTTAAGTTGAAACATCAAGTATTCATAAGGAAATCCTTTTCTTTAGTTTCTTTCGTTTGATGAAAATGTTTTGTTCGTTTGAAATTTTTCACTTTTGGCAAATTGATGGTTGAATCCTCGACTTGTTGGAATTGAAAAAAGGTTGAAAAAGTTGTTTGATGAGCTCATTGGAATGCGAAAAGTTGGAAAGATGAAAAGCAAATCGTGAATGATATTGAAAATTGTTTCATATTTAATCAGGTGAGAAATGATGATTGAGACAATAAATTGTTGATTTAAACTCATCTGTTATTGACTCAATTGCTTTCCGTTTATTGTTGAATGCTGTTTTGTTTCACCAACAATAAATTATGAAGTAAATGAAGTGAAAAGGCAAGAAGAAGAAGAAAAGCATGATGATGAATTTGAAATGAAATTTTTGTCGATTAACTGAAACAAAATGATTATTTAATATTTTAAGCAAACACACAATTGTTTCTAATCAACTTTACTTTCAATAGCCAAATGGATAACCTTGATTAAAGTGACAAGTTGAGAGTGAAAAGTTGAAACGAGAATAGAAACAGAGAGAAATGTTAATGGAACCTGAAAAATCATGATTATCCATTGGAATCACCAATTATCATTGATTAAACGTGATTACAATTGTTTTAAAGTAGAGAAAAAAAAAGTTGTCAAAGAAGAAGAAAAAAAGTGAATTTTATTTCGCCTTCTTTCATTGTTTCCTCACAACGTTAATCAAAAGCGAAACCAGCAAAAATCAATTTTTACGCTCAAACAGATCAATCAATTGATTTCTCAATTGAATTCATTCTTTGATCAGATAATATGGGATTAACACAGAAGAAGATTATTCAATTTTCCATTAATCTTGTTGAAGGTTATTGAAACTTGGATCATCAAGATTTGTGTAATAATCAGAGAAAATGACAAATGACAAGTTCTGTGGATGAGCAAGTTCATTACTTGATTATTTCCCTCATCGGAATGATTCTCATTTTCATCATTTACTCAGTGTTAACTTTTCATTTCCAATCATTGGTTACATGAAGAGAGGAAAGAGAGAAAAAAAGAGAAGAAAAAAAGTTGACCAAAAATATTCTCTTCTTCTTTTCGTTTGTTTTTCCCTCTTTTGTCGATATTGTTTCAAGATTCAATTGTCATTATTTACATTTGTAATCATCAATGATTCAGTTTTCCCCGAAAAAACTAAAAACCAGTTTATTTGTCATTTCCAGATAATCATTGGCTCCATGGACATTGAACATTATCGTTACCAACCAAGTAACCAACACTTTATCAAACCGCAAAAATCCAATCAACAATCAATATTACCTGATTATCCTTAATTGACATTTACTTTCGTCATGTTGAGATAATCAACTTTTTTTCCCTTCTCTTCATAAATAATTTAAATTATTTTTTCTTTTTTGCTCATTCGTTTTCTTCTTTAACCTGTTTCACCCAATTTTCCGTCTCGTTTCTTTTGTTAAAACCTAAACTGTGATATCAACTAATTGTTAACTTGACATGTCAAAGAGTTGAAAACCCGATCGAAGCAACAATTTGATAAAAAGGTAAGTGAATCTTTACTCTTTGCCTAGTCGATTCAATGTTGAACCTGGAATCAAAAACTCGAGTTTTGTGAAAAAAAAATGAACATTGAAACATTGCCATCAATCATAATCTTTCATCGAAAGATAATCATGAGAATTGAATCGATTAAGTAATCAAGGTAAACAATTGATTAAGATGTTTTGGAATCAACCATTTTCTTGAGTTCAATTTTTTTCTCGATAAAACGAAAGATAATTTAATTTCTATTTTATTTTCATTTAAAAAGGTTATTTTGTTCATGGGATTCATCAGTATTGAAACGACTCACCATCAACATTTTGACCGTTACAACAGTCAACATCACCATTATCATCTATTAAGCAAACTGATTTCTGGAAAAAGTTCAACAAGAAATCAATCAACTGTAAAAATCTCAACGAATCGGAGAAAAAGTTTACCAACTTATCATTACAACTGTTATTACCAAAGAAACTTTATCAACAATAATAATCACAATAGTTGGAGCAACAAAAAAAACTGGAGATTAATTGTTGGAGTGGAAAGTGATAAAAGGCCGGCAACTCGAAAGGTTATCAATTATCATATTTTAAAGACACCAACAAAAATAACCAACCTAGATGAGCTCAAAGCATTCAGGTCTCGAAACAACCATAACCCTTTGTCTTAGTTTAATGATTATTGTTACAATAATTGGTAACATTCTTGTTTGCCTATCAGTGGTTTTGGTTCGTAAACTGCGTTCACCTTCAAACTATCTTCTAGTTAGCCTTGCCATCTCTGACCTTTGTGTTGCCATACTGGTTATGCCGTTAGCACTTAACCTTGAGGTTAAAGGCTACTGGGATTTGGGTCCAACTCTGTGTGACATGTGGGTCTCTTTTGATGTCACCTCATGTACAGCCTCCATCCTGAACCTGTGCATGATCTCGGTTGATCGTTATCTAACCATAACCAAACCCTTGACTTATGGAGTTAAACGTACAACCAAACGAATGACTGCTTTCATTGCCATTGTCTGGGTTTCCTCGTGCCTCATTAGTGTCCCTCCTCTTCTGGTTCTGGGCAATGAACATGGAACCGATGAGGAGCCTTCTTGTCAAGTCTCACAGCACATAGTCTACCAATTGTATGCCACTTTAGGAGCTTTTTACATTCCTCTTGGAGTCATGATTATACTTTATTACAAAATTTATGGTGCAGCCAAGTCGGTTGTTGACGCTGAGCTTCGCTCACTGGGCCACACAACGGAACGACTAGTCAATAGTCACACCAACAGTAACCTTGTCAATCAACACAATTCATCGGCTCATTCCCAGTCAACAGTTTACCATCAACAGCACAGTTATGCTTCTCGCTATTTTCCCGCCATTAAACCTTTACTAAAGTCAACCCTAACAGCTTCCAATAAGCATGAAAATTGTTCAAAAGTACCATTTCCATCTTCAGTCAACTACGACATTCAACCATTGGAATCAATCAATGACAGTGATTATCAGGCTGGCAATAAAATAACGGAAAATTCAATGTTTTTCTCTTCACCACCACACCAACAGCAAAATTATTCACCCCAATCCAGGGAATCGGGTGCAACAGAAAATTTCAATGAAACCAATTTTGGTGAAACAAAATCAAGTTCAAGTCCAACAGCAACCCAAGTGACTCTAACAAAATCAACTCCACGAAACGGTTTAATTAGTTGTAAAGATTCAAGTGCAACAACGTTAAGTGATGTTTTATTAAAGGAAACTTTACCTAAAAATAGTGCCAATATTAGTCATAATAACAACAACAACAACAATAATAATAATAATGATAATTTAAATAGCAACAATTGTAGTGAAAATACTTTTCATTCATCTTTACTTTCATCTTATAAACGGGTTAAAGAGTCAATGTTGTCAAGTCATAGGTCACAGTCGGCCTCATCTTCACCTTCATCAACCCATCATTCACTTCAATCAAAATATCATTGTATAGTTCAACAAACACAGGGTAGTCCAATAAATTCAACCAACAATAACTCCAACAACAACAGTAATAACAATAACAATAATACTTTTTGCTCAAACTTTGGAGGAGTTCGTAAAAGTTTAGGTGATCGACTGTCTTTTCATGCAACCATGAGCTCGGGAACTGAAAAGAGGCGAACCTCGTCAATGTTGAAGGAAAGAAAAGCTTCCATTACTTTAGGTGTTATCATGACCGCCTTTACCGCATGCTGGTTACCCTTCTTCATACTGGCCTTGCTTCGTCCCTTTTCAGTGACTGTTAACCAAATCCCTCACTGGATCAGTAGCCTTTGCTATTGGCTTGGTTTAGCCAATTCAATGCTTAATCCAATCATTTATGTTACCTTTCATCATGACTTTCGTAAAGCATTTCGCTATTTATTGTGCCTACAATGTTCAACCATGGATTTCCGTTTACGTGAAAGAGCCTATCAAAGTCAATATGGAATCAACAATTCTTCAGATAATCATTTACACCATTTAACTTCCTATCAATATTATACTCATCCCGGTCATCATCCTCCTCCTCCTCACAATCATCACACTTCATCTCACTCTCAACTCTCATGTTCACCAATAAATCAACCTCAACCTCCTCCGCCTCCAGCATCTCAATCAAATCCAATCTCAACTTCATGGTCAACTCCAAGTACACCAGCAGCAGTACCAGTAAGTAACTCGACGAATCGATCAGCTGACGAAAAGAAAACTTTGGCTCTCAAAGAGAATCTGATTCCAGTCAATTATTCATCACAGGCTACACTTGAACCTCTAACATCATCCAGTGTCGATGAAAGATTGATTAGCCAACAGGAACACCTTTTATCCAAGCACACACCTTTATGATATTAATGGCAATAATTGGTAGAGAAGATGGAAAAAAAGAGAAAATCAGAGAAAAGAAATAATTCCATTTCATTTCAATCATCATCATTATTCTTCTTCTTCTTCATCTTCTTCTTCATCCTCATCTTCATCAACTTCCCATAACATCAACAAATGTAATTTCATTATTTCATTTTTATTCTTGATCCATCAAACATACGAATGTTACTATTACTATCCAAGTTGAATCAACACAAAAATTCTGTGAATAAAAAAAAGACGAAAAGATTACAGAGAAAAATTCATTATTTCTTTTTCTTTCTCATCTCTTTTCATTTCAACTGAACAAATCTTTTCTTTTCACTCCATCATTATCAGTTTATTCATTTAACTTAACCCAAATTCACTCCCATTCATAAACATTCAAACATTACGATTCCATTGACCTGTTAACATGACATTGAAAAGATGTTTATGAAAATGAATTTGCCGGAGAAAAAAGCAGGAATAATAATAAGAAGAAGAGAGAAAGAGAAAAAAAAGAATTTCATCTTTTTCCATATTTTATCGTCTTATTTAATAATTAATACCATAAATATAATTCAATTTTACCAACAAAGTCACAAAGCATTAATATGATAATGAGGCGAGTGAAAAGCTTCAACATTTCAAATGTTAGGCAAGAAAATTGTTTCAATATTTTTTTCGCAAATCTTTTTCTCTCCCAACATTATTATTGTAATTTTATATCTAATATAATCATAAACTGTTCACCATTTTGTGACCAACGAAAATTGAACTAATATTGAATCTAATCATGGTGAGAGAAAGAAATGAGCATCATCATCAAGAGTAAACTTGAATATTCCCTCCCTGAACTTGGAGTTATTAGTGTTGAAAGGAGAAGCAAAAGAGTCGAGAAAATAAAGGTTAAACTGTTTTTTCAGTTTCAGACGTTTTTTCCATGAAAGTGTTGAGTGAAGAAGAAAACAAAATTCAAATCAATCATGATAATAAATAGTAAACGGATGTTATCAATGAATCGTCTCATTGGAATGCAAGAAAAATATCATTTCCTTTGCTAACATTAATTTGTTTCCCTTTTAACCCATTCAAGTGAATCTCAACAACAATTGGTAACAATTTATTCATCATGGATAAATGCATGAAAATTCATGGAAAAAGTGGTTCAACTGAGCAAGAAAAATGTTGCAAAACTTCAACAGTTGAAGGGAAGAAAAAGTGTGAAAAATTTTTTCATGAAAAAAGATAAACCATTTTCTCCATTTCACTAATTATATCATGTTACAGATTGGCAAGAAAAAGATAAAGAGATAATTCCATTTGAGTGTTTCATGATATTCTAATAAGCTAACATTCTTTTCATGAGATTATTATCATGTTAACTAATAGAGTTAACAGTCATTTAGTATTTGCTATTAGAAAACATTTTTCTTTTCATCATTCCATCAACTTTATTACTGAAAAGAATTTTTGACCAACTTCTTCATCATCATGATAACAGAAGAACTTGAATTTTTCAGTTGTTCCAATCAATTTTGATAGACTTGAATGTTGTTTAAAGACGAACAAAAAATACGTTTTTCTTCACTAGTTTGTTCATCACCATGACATGCTAATGAATGATGATAACATGTTGGCACGTTTACTCGGCAAAACACTTTTCGTTGCTAATGGGTATGGAAACAGGGAGTGAAGTAGAAAAGGAAAAGAAGAATCGGCAAAAAAAAATTAAAAGAGAAATGTGAATGAATCAATGAATAGGAATTAATAAAATGAGACAAAGTTAATGATGCATTCTGAGTAAATCATTATTTCCATTAACTTTTGTTTCTCATCATCAACCATCTTTATCATGAACACGATCCCATCACATCCTGCCAACTATGTCATGTTTCAACATATAATAATATGAAACAAATTCTGATTTTTCTTTCTTCTCACCATTCAATCTCTTTCATTATAATACTTGTTATGTGATGAGGGTAAAGTAAACCAGCAACAAGATGAACAAAGTTTAGTCTTGGTGATCAATCATTGAGAAGCCAAGAGAGGATAAAGTTTCATGCAAAGTAGATTTGCTTTCTAGGTTAACCTTATGCTCATCACTGGCTTATCCTCAACGAAACAGAGAAAATTTGTTTTATTTTTTTTCTTCGATAAAAACTTTCAATTTTCATTTCCAACATTTTCCTTTATCTTGAAATTGAAATTCATCTTTTGTTTAACCATTTCATTTGCATAGTTATTAATAGAAACAGCTTGAAACTGTTGATTAATTATTCAATATAAGAAAATGAATTTGTTTTGGGTCAACAAACAAATCAAGTTTAATCTTTCCAACTTTTTTTTCCCTGAACAAGATTCATTTATGAGGAAAATTTTTTTCTTCCATGGATAAACTTTCTCTATGCAAATTTGTCTTTTATCATTTTACAATTAATTTCTATTCATACGAATCAAACCTAATCAATCAGAACTTTTTTACCTTCCCTGAACAAACATGGTTGCGTGACAATATTAACTTTACATTGAGTCAGAAGAAGAAGGAATATGAAGAGAAAAGTGATTCGCTTATTGTTTTTTTTCTGGTTATCAAACTTTTCGCTTATTTGAATTGATAAACTGGGAGGTAAAAATAATTATCAATGAAACGAGGAAAAAGAAGAAAAGTATTCCGGAATTTGGAATGAAACATTGTTGTGGTAACGTTGGGAAAAATGTTGAAATAGATGGTGAAGAATGCTATGAAAGAGAAGGGAAAA